AGCTGTGTTTGGCTGCTAGCCAAGTGCTAGAGGCAGATTTTTTATGGCCAAAAGGAAACAGTGCACACTTAGGATTTGCCGAGTAAGACAGATAAGCCAACTATTGGTACGTAAAATTAACTGGGGCTAAATTACCCTTTTTAGATATTCATTAACCAACTTGATACTGGTGAGATCATCTCAATGGAAATTTGCAGAGCACCAATAGGTTAAAGAAAAAAATCCTAAGAAAACATGAACATACAGGTTATGTCATATTAAGAGTCTTAGTCCTACTTTATCTACACTCAAAAAATACAGAATGGTGAGCGTTCATATATTTTCAATGTCTGCTCCATAGGGCCTTGCTTACTTCTCACTTTCAAGTTATTTTCCATAGGAAAAGTCCTGTGAGCATTTTGGAGCTCTTCTTTAAATTAATCCAAAGAAGAAAAACAATACAAGGCGCATAATTCCCTAAGGCTCATAATTTTCAGCTGAAACTACTGAAGTTGGATGTTCTCAAACTGTTAATGTGCAAGACATGCTTCCCTTCCTGTATCAGTAATGTCATACTTAGCTTCATTCAGAAGTCTCACCCAGAAGCTAATGAAGACTGTTTTTTTGTGCTTTCACCACCTTAAGACAGTGAGGTTTCTGTGAAATATTTGGTCAAGAAGGCTCAAAAAAATCAGGCTTTGTCAGTGATGTGCATTGTCCTTGTTTCCTCTGCACTCTGTCTCACACAATTATTGACCCCACACCCAAGACATTTATTCTTGCCTCAAGAATGGAAGGGAAGGGAAGAAGGAGAAGAATCTCAAGACCCTGTGAAAGGAAGGAGGAAGGACTTCTATGAGGAGAGAAGGATGCCAGACAATGGTCTGGTCTAGTGGAAGGTGTCCCTGCTGATGGCAGGGGGGTTGGAAGTAGATGATCTTTAAGGTCACTTCCAACCCAAACCATTCTATGATTCTATGAATGCACCAGACTTACTGTCTAAATACTATTTGAGAGTAAGATACACTAGCTCAGTCTTTGATTGATATGAAGCCAATCTGTGTCCCAAAGTTAGTGCCATCACGAAAGTGAGAGTAAAATTTATCAGGGTGGCATGCAGTACAGAAAGTGATGTTTTTGTTCTGGTCTGTGACAGAATCATCTTGGATGTTCTCAGGAAGAATCCCACCACTCTCAAGAAGGATCCTTAAAGAAAGAAAGAAAAAGAAACAAAAAATAATATTTTTTGTACATTATCATTCAGACAGTACCTCAAGTACCAATTGAACAAACTGTGCCAATATTGCAATTAAGACTTTTATTTGCTTTTCTTTTTTCTTTCTTTCAGTATTAGACTAAAATAATTGCTTTTCTGCAACCAGTAAAGTCATGTTTATTTTGAACATTTGTCTATAATCCATAATCTAACAGTGTAACAGTAAAATAATAGTTGAAACCCAGCAAAAGTCAGCAGTTATAATTAATTCAAAGGTATCAAAGCTTACCGTGTTGCTCTTCTAATATCAATATATGGACATGCAGAGTCAAATAGTCTCACACACTTTGGATCAATTCTGTGAAATTCTTTAGCTGATTCGTGAGGAAGTTTATAGCAGCAAGGTCCTACAGATGGGCCCAGCACCACAAGAATATCTTTCACATTACAGCCATATTCTGATACCATAGCATTTACTGTGGCCATAGAAATTCCTAACAATGTCCCTTTCCATCCTGTAAGAAATTAGAGTTTGGAAAAAAACTGTATAAATTGTCTCTTTAACTTTATAGTAGTTGTTATTAAAGGTACAAATGAATAGATATATTTATATCTTAAAATAAATCATTATATCTTATAATAAATAATCGGGTTCTTTGCAAAAAAAAACCCAACACAACATATTAACAACTGTCAGTTTGCTGATAACATTTTGTGGAGGTGGAAAACAGAGAGGTGTGTAGACTGGGATTTCAGAATTCCTTTTTCCCAGTGTCCTTGTTTGGGCAACTAAAGCATACCTTACAGCTCCTCTGTGCTTGAAACATTTAAGTGGGAATATGTCAGAAATACAGTTCTGACAATACAGTCAGAACTGTATTTCTATAATATGGTGAAAATGTTTTTAGTGTTATTTCAGGAAAAAAAAAAAAAGGCTCAAGCTAGAGACATAGTTTGGAACAGATAGAAGAAAGCCAAGCTTTGAGTTCTCCTATTCCAGTTTGAGTCCCAGGAAGCTTTTGCATTGCATAGGGAGTGTGTAATAATGAAGGACAGGAATTGCTAATAACTTTTCCTCTGCTTTTCTTTATCCAAAGACTGAGATGACCTTATATCTAATTGACTTTATTTGTATACATAGAAACATGTGTTCAAGTTAAACATGAACTGAGGTGGGGCTGGACAGAAAGGAAAGTATTTAGGAAAAGACAGCTGTAAGCCTGGCAAGGATGGTGATGAGGGAATGAAGGCCACAACTCGGGAGATGGAAGGTAGGAGTTCAGGCTACAGCTGGGAGTTATGCTTGGAGATGGCAGCAGTGTGAGCTGAGGGAACAGTGTGGTGTGTCAGGGACTAGATAAATGAAGAGGCAGCAGAGAAAGGAGCAACTACAGATTAAAATATTTTATAATAATCAGGTTTGAACACTTACAATATAAAACTCTTAAAACTTTTAAGTGTGGATAAAATTCTCTCCACTCCTTCTCCCCATTAAAACATTCACATCTCCCAAACAGACATGCCACAATTCTCATTCCTCTCACTTTCTCTAAATTTAGCTTGCTAAGCACAGGGTGAGAGGAGAGGGGAGCACAACAACATTGTTGAGCGGAAGTCAAAGTTTTGATCATCTTATGATGACTCACAAATTGGGATTTGTTTTGGCTAATTTATCCAATGTACGAGAAATTGTATGAATTAATTGTATGTATTAATTGTATGAATTAATATTCACAAGTTCTAGGCAGAGGTGAAGCATCCTACCATATCAAGGGGTGTACGAGCACCAAAGCTGAGGAGAAACTCCCTGCTCTGCATTCTCCTTGATCTCATAAATACAGACTTTTTTATAAAATGAAACAGCCCCAGTAGGAAAATCTCACCACAGGGTATATATTCTAGCCTAGCATCTCCTGAAGTCAAACATAAGCTCAGCTTGTGCTAACCATCCCTGCTTCAGTTTTATTCTCACTTGGTTTAGGTCAGACAAACATTTCTGATCAAAAATGACTGTTGGGGGCATTGGTTTTATAGCCAGTTTTTACATATGAAGTTAGACAGGACACAAAAAAAAATTACAGGGTTTTGGCTACCAGATCAGAAAAATAAATGTATAATTACATAAATAATAATTATTACAGTTAAAATAAAATAAAATAAAATAAAATAA